TAGCTGGGACTACAGGTGCCCACCACAACACTCGCCTATTTTTAGAGACAAGGTCTCACTCTAGCTCAGCTGGTCTCAAACTCATGAGCTCAGACAATCTGCCCATCTCAGCCTTCCAGAGTGTTGGGATTACAGGCGTGAGCCACCATACCCAGCCAACTTTACTGTATTTTCCAAATTTCCTATAATTAACAATTGTAGCTTTGTTTCTTTAATTCTAAAACTAATAAACATAATTAGTTAATTTTCAAAGGGGCTGGCTCCATTCCCTGGGGATCTTGAGCCAGGTCCTGGGAATGTGGTTCAAGGCTTTCTTCCAGCCCTGCTGTGGCTTGGCCAGACAAAGACAGTGATCTGAGAACAGGGCTGGATGTTTGTGCCTGGAGGGACCCTGGGAGCTTTATTTACAGAGGACACTCTGTCCCAGGGCCTGAACCACTCCCTCTGTCCAGCATCTGCTGTATGGACTGACCCCACAGAGAGACCCACCCTACCCTCCAATGCTGAATCCCAGCACTCAGTGTCTGCCTGGGTCATGACAGCCTTTGGAGCACTGCTCTTCCTTTAGGCGCTGTTTCTGGTTCTGAGCACAGGAGCTAAGCTCAATTTTCATCATGGTCAATACCCAGAGGGCTACAATGTCTGTTTGGGGTGAAGAAAAGTTTTGGAAATAAATAGTGGTAGAAATAAAGGATACAAACTTTTAGTTAGAAGATGAACAATTAAGGTACAGTGTAAGTGGTGAAGGATATGTTCATTAATGTGCTTCTGCTAATCATCACGCAAAAGCATACATATCAGGCCAGGTGCAATGGCTCACACCTCTAATCCTAGTACTCTGGGAGACTGAGGCGAGAGGATCCCTTGCACTTAGGAGTCTGAGACTTGCCTGACCAAGAGGGAGACCTCAATCTCTACTAATAATAGAAAAACTAGATGGGCGTCATGGTGGATGCCTATAGTCCCAGATACTCAGGAGGCTGAAACAGGAGGATCACTTGAACCAAGGAGTTTGAGGTTGCTATGAACTGGGCTGATGCCACAGCACTCTACCCAGTGTGACAGTGAGACTCTGTCTCAAAAAAGAAAAAAAAAAAGTCATCACACGGAATATATACAATCTTACCTGTCAATTAAACACTTCTAAAAAGAGTAGTGATGATGACACAGCTTTGTGAATACAATTGAATGCAATTAATGCTGCTGAGTAGTACTACTTAAAGTGGGTAATTTAATTTTATATAGATTTTACTACAATTAAAAAAAAATCAGGATGAAAACACCAACAGGAGAGAGGATTTCATGAAAAAATCTAGGATGGACCAAGACCATGACAGGAGACCTGGCTTTAGGTCCTGTTCTGTTCCCTGTTCTACTCCATGACCTTCCGTAACTTAATTCCTGAAGGGTGGCCATGAAGATCAAACGTGATCAAATGTGTGAAATTCTTTTGTAAAACATTCAAAATTGTTTTAGGTTTTTTGTTTGGTTTGATTTTTTTGCAGCAATCTCTAG